GATTTTAATTAATCTAAATATAAAGATAAATTTGTCCAAGAAATTCACGATTTCTTTCATTGGGTTTCTCACTAAATAGTTTGTTTCTTCTTTGCAAATCTGTAGTATACATATGCATATGTGTCTCTTAAAATAAGTTTGAATGTGGTAATAAACATTTTTGGTTTATATTTCTTAAAGTATTATGTTTCTCTTTTTTCTACGAATAAAAAATGTCTGAGAATCCTCGCTGTCTTTCTTTTCTTTCTTGATAGTAAATGCAAATAAAGAGAAAATCTTTTACACACACATACACACACATATTATATGAAATATGGATAACTCTGTTTATATAACAGGGTGAGTTGAAATCTTCCAGTCTTCTATCTTTTCCTATTTCCGTCGCGTTGTTAGATTCATATATTGTTGGTCTCATAATTGGAATAGTAGATACAATATACAGTGGTTGATTCATTGGAAAAATAGTACTGCTTGATAGCTACATATATATGTATATATATATGTATATATATATAGCCACATTCTTATTCGTTTAACACTTATCATCTTCGTACGGTACCATCGTACACAACGAAATCCGTTACGAACGAATATAGACCGTGTTCACAATAGAATGTGTTCTAAATGAATTGATCGCTAACGCTTTGAAATGTTAGCTTTTAGGCAATAATGACAAGTTTCATTACCATTACTAAGAATAATTACTTACGTCTATGTTGTCCCACACATTGAGATTTATTTCATTGACCAAAATTTCTTTTTAAACATGTGACATATATATATATCGCACACACTGTTTGATAATTCAATTTATTATATACTCGCATATATATATTTTGCTGAATGGAAATACGCAATGTGCAATTTGATTTTTTAAATCTTACCGAATCTATTTTTTGTTCTGTAATTATACAAGTAAAATATGGTTTGCATGATAATTATGATATTTGCAATCTATTTTGTTGGCAAGTAGAATTTTATATTGCGCATATTTATATTTTTCATATTGCATATATCTATGGTACTATTTTTTAAATTTCGTTGTTCGTCATTTAATGTACATACATATAGTATCTATATTTATTCAATTTATGTTATTACGCTATAGATGTCGTATAAACTGCACACTGATAATCACAATCATGATTATTAGATTCGTAGCAAGCGCATGTATGTCCCTTTAATATAATTACATATTTTAATTTAAATGATATTTTAAGAAAGTATTTAAGAAATTCGAATTCTGCTTCAATTTAATATATCATTCTACATCTTGTTGTAACATAAGATTGTTTATCAATATAAGAACATAATGTAATTAATACTTCTCGAAATAATAATACGCTTAACAACCTATCATTAAATTATCTCAATTTTTTATTAAAAATTCTTTGGATATATACTTCCATTTTCACAAATATTAAAATATAAAATTATGACACTGGAAGCAGGAAAGTAATCAACAAGATCATACATTATTACATGCTATATTTTGAATTTTACTGTAACTTTCAATATATTTCTTTTCTGTTATATATTATACGCCCATGCTTATAATGGAAAATAAAAAATGATACATCACAATAATGCATGTTAAATAATAAGCAATATTAAGTTCATAATCACAGATAATATATATTTATAATTAGAGATAATATCGAAAATTAAATGTCAATCTGAACACTACAGAAAACGCTATGAGAAGTGTTATCTCTGATAATGAACACAAGTATCATGCAATTATGATATCTATGAGTATTTACGCTTTTACATTAGTAATTGCTTAAAATAGTTAAAATATTTAATACTCTTCAAGTACTAATCGGTATTTTATTTTTATTAGCTTGCATATTGGGAAAGGTACAGTACATGTTCTTTATTAATTAACAACAAAGAATAAAAACTGATACATGGTCATAATTTACATCGTAATGTCATTGATATGTTCTTGTCATATATACATTGATATTTATTTAATTCTTTACAGTTATAATTTTTATTATACGGAGTCATGTACCTCTATATCACTTATCCATATCTATATAAGTATTAATTTATTTTAAGTATATTAATACAATTAATATAAGTTCATAGATCTTATTATTTTATTGTATACGATCGTCCTAATCACTAAAATGTATAATATTTATATAATATTCGTATTGTCTATATCATTTTAAAATTAATGATAAAATGTTTTACTAATTATAATACGTTTTTCGTGAACAGTGCTTTTTGTACAATAGTTTTTTCAATTTATTTTATAATTTCTCATGCTTTATTTAAGTTTTACATGTGTGTTCTCTAAATTCTGATGTTTTACTATATGTATTATAAAATGTAATATATAAAAATATAATTCTCTTGAATTATATTTATGCTTACTTGAAAGCGCTGTCATAAAATGTTAATTTGATTTAAATTTATACAATTATGATGAAATGACAAACATCAATTTAATATAAAAGGCACATCAATGCTATATGTAACTGTGTAATTTTAATTATATATATATACGTATATACTTTATATTACATATTGTTCCGTACTTACAATCGTTTTTCACTATCAATATTTGATAACGTTATTTTCATATAAAAATATTTTACTTTTTTTTTTAGCAAAAGAAATTTTTTAATGATGGTTGTCGCTTTCTTGCATTCATATCATACTTAAATGTGTATCTTACAGGTATCTTGCGGTACAAAGTGGACTTTCAAAGTATGCAGCTGGACGACATTGAAACTGATGGCTTTGATTTGGACGACTACTAAGTCCATGACTCAGTCGACATTTGGTTCTGTTAGCTTCGGAGAAAGCAGGAGGGACATGATGTCTGATGTTCTTTCACATATGATGTCCCAAGAAAGAAGCATGAAGAAAATACGTTTCTCAAAATTTACAATACAGCACGTACGATATCGTCATAAAATTATTGTCTAGAGTTTACCAAACATCAAGCAGATCGTAATCGATACACGAAAGAGAAGAGCACCAGCGAATATTGGCGCGGCTGATATAATCCATGTCTATGAAAGAAAAGGCGATTCGAAGACTGTGACACTTAATTAAGCCAGCTTGATACCTGCCTACTCTCATACATTCACCACCTTGTATTTACAATTTATGATCCTTAATTATTCACAGGGATTCCTTTAAAACAAACGCGCTCTACAGTTCCAAATACAAATGTACAGTGTATGGTGGTTCGATCGTAATTTTATATTAAATTGATGTTTGTCATCTTATCATAATAAATTTTACGAGAAATGAGTATTCGAGCTACAAGAGCGGCTGTAGCGCTATTTTGTTCAGACACAATCATGAAAGAGCTGTAATAAACTGATTATTATGAACATACAATTGCGTATCGTGCATTCTACACCGATATTTGCAAAATTATTCATACGGAGAAGAGTTCTGTAAATAGATGTCAATTTTTAAAAAAACGGCACAGTTGCCTTAGACATAAGTTGAGGTCGCGTACACGATCCACGGAGTAAATGAAGTATTTCCGTCTTATGCAGTGATACACACTTGTAAACGTAAGGACAGATAATTCCTCGCAATCCTACATTGCTCCGTTGCTGGCTCTTGGCTCTTAGATTTTTGTACATTCACACAATTGTACATAAGAAAACGCTTCGCAAAAGTATCGAAGTAATTTTTCATTGTTATAGTGGTGCACCTCAGTGAAGAGAAAGATATTTCCCGCAATATTTAAACGGTTACTGAAGATATTACGAAATTTATTTTAACATTGTTAATTTAATTCGCTTATTCGTATGATGCCTCTGTAATAAACGACGCTATGTATGTATAAATGTGAAAAGAATGTAACGTGCAATTTTGGTGAAGTATCCTTTATGAAAGAATACTGTATAGAGAGCAAAGAGTTTCTCAATGAGTCTCGAATGTTGTGAGATTTACTCGACGAAAAACGATGTATCGTTATTTAATAATGTATCTACATTATTTGCGATATTGTTGTACACCTTGCAGAGACAAAAAACAGGCGCACAAGTGAACTTCATCAAAGTGGAACGTTCGAGAGAGATCCGATTTTGCGATATGTGCACAACGAATTCCAGAACGTGATGGTTCGAAGTATTTGTATCTGTGTATTGTCTCTCAAGATACCCAGATGTTAATTGCCGGCTTAACGTTTCTTCAAATTTTTATATGTAAACATCTCACTATAGGAGTCTAGATAGTTATTTATTTCTATACATCGGTGCGACTACGTTTCTGCTTAGCGGAACATCCGATTTAAGTACGCAAGATAGATAAATTAAGAAATCAATAAATATCAATGCGTGAAAGTGTGAGAGAACGGGAGAGAGAGAATGCGAGAGGAAGAGAGAACGAGTGAGAGAAAGGGAAGAGAATAGGGAAAGCCTTGTAATCTTTGTTTTAAGGTAAAAGGTACATGGAAATGTCGTCCACGCGATTTGCTTTAATAACCGGATCGATGACGTACTTAGATTATGGCTTGCCTATGATCTCTACAAGCATAGTTGTATAACTGCTAACACGTTCGTCATTGATTATTTTACTCCCACGTATTTTGCCAGTCAAATGTGTCTTTTTAATCGAAGCCGATCGTTTCCTTAACGTCTCATTAGATTTTGTATCCGACAGGAAGGCAATACGAGAGCGTAATCGTTGTGAAAATTAATTTATCCCGGCCGATTTTTCAGAGTACGATTTTATTGTAATGCTTCACGTTTTTCGTATATGTGTATATCACACGTGCTGTTCTAAAATGAAACCTGTTTTTTGCTGGATCACAAGTATACACGGATCATAGCTAAGGATTGGAAAAGAAATTTTTTCGATGGTACCGCTGCTCATTTTCTGTGAGATCTATGCTTTGTCAGGTGACAAAGAGGAAGATTGAAATAATGATCTAAAAACATTCCATAGATGTATATACAGATATCGCATGTTGCATTAATACAGAAATGGTAGAAATGAATTTTTCGAAAAACAACGTAATCTTTTTACAGCATACAATTTAATGATTAAATATAACGCTATCAATTCTCTCTCATTACATGTACATATAAATATATATTTTGCACTTTATTGATTTAATAATTTTTCGGTCCAAAAATTAACAATTGCATATGTACGTAGTATGTGAGAGCTACGATAAATCGGTATTATCGTAGTGCATTCCAAAAGATAAGATTTGTTGGAATAACATTAATTAGTATCTCACATGTAACACTTGGAAGTTTGTCAAGCATTATTTCTAATCTTCCTTTTCTCACGCATATTTTATTCGAAGTTTTATATAAAAAGGAAGAGAGTAAACGTGTGTCATCGTAATATAAAATGCCGAATAGAACTGGACAACCATAGGTTATTAAACAGTACATGAGTGAAAAAATACAATCTATGTTTCTCATACAAACAGATGGTTATTAGAGTCCGGAACTGTTACACTGGCATAACACCTCGCGGAAAATTGTATCAGAGATCAATTACTCTCAACTGTTGCATTTTGCACATTATATAAACAATAGGTATTTTAACGTTGACCTCATGGTGGTTTATGTCAACGCGATGCTTCCGGACCCCAATCACAGTTCTTCATATTTAGAAACTTACTGATGTCCACCTTCATTTAGACTGTTCGTATCCTGTTTATAAAGAGGGAAGAAGCACTTTTCTCGTTCACGAGAAAAGTATATAAAAAGGTTCTATCGAACAGGAAGACAGTGATGACCTCAGCCTAAACGTAAATTTCAAACGAACGTAATTTAGTGAAGAACGTAGTCGAGACGACATAATGGTTTTTATACGATTGTTGTACCTGGCTGTATATCAAAACGTTTCTGCTCGCTGTGTACATTTCGGACGGAGAGAATTCGATGTATTTCATTTCGGAAATGTGCAAGAGATACACTCTTTAGGATTTCTTTATATTTGTACATTTCATAAAATGAAAAAAAAAAGAAGAAAACTGATAATACTGACAATAAACAAAAGGATATCAAATGTTTTGCATTTGTAGATTCTAAGATACAAAATATAGGAGTAAGATATCAGTCGCGGTTATTCGCAAAATTCACGTCTCTTTTATTTTAACCGATGATAATTAGGAGTTTCGAACATTAATTCAGACGGCAAGTTGTAGCTTGAATTTCTATCTTCATCGTACAGCAAATATTAAAAAATACTAATTAAATTGACGTACAGGCAACGGTATCGCAGCACATTTCAGCATCTGCGTTTAATTTATATACAAATACTTTACCTTCACGCTGCATAAAACACGTGTTACGTGGCACCAGTTTGCGTTTCTAATCTCTTCTCAATCATCATTTCATTTCTCTTCTATAAATACTCATTTCAAAAATAATATTGCGAGCAATCAGATTGACATGTTAATCCCCATCGGGAACTAGAAGGTTGAGATTGGCATCTTTCACCGCAGAACCCAGGAACTTTTCCTCGGCGCCGCGGATGGACAGGGTCTCTGCGGCGATCGCGGTCTTCCTCTCGTCCATCATCGCCGCCCTGACCCAATTCGAGCCGCTGCACTTGCCGCAGCTGTGCGACGGCATACGGTTCAGGCTGACAGTCCGATTGCCACAGTCGGTGCACTTGAAGAATCTCTTGACGGCGTCGGTCACGCGCAACGGGTGTCTCTGCTCCTTGCACATGTCCGACGCCGAGAACGCCGTGTACTTGCATACCGCACACGTCACAGCTTTGCAATTGATCTTGAAAGTGCTCATCATCTTCTCCTCCATTCTCTCCTTCGCCTCCAGCTTGTTGAAGTACTTCTCCTTCTCCTCGTCGTACAACTTCTCGATCAGATCTGTGTGCGAGGACTTGGCTTCTAGCATCTCTTTGAATTTGTCGCTTATGCTCGCTTTTTTCGCGCTCCGCTCTTCCGTCTCGTCAGCTCCCCTCTTACGCTTCGCGTTGTTCTCCAGTTTTTCTTTCGCGCGGATCTCATTCGGATTCTTCGCTTTGATCTGTCCGTGCTCTTGCACCCACTTGATCGCGTTCATCTTGGCGTTACGGATCTGCTGTTTGGTGATCGGTTCGGAGAAATCTATTGTATCCCGATTACATCCCGCTCCGAGTCGCGGGCGTGACGAAGCTAGAGAAGCCAAACTGATCTTGCCCGTGTGACTGCTTGGAGATTTGACTGGCACAGGATTGCTTTCTTTCAATCGCGCTGGACCGGAGCACAAAACTGGCCCGTTAGGCGTCGATTGTACCATTAATTGCTTTGAGGGCTGCCAATTCCTTAGTCTGTTCAGTCGTTCAAAATCTTTTCTCGACTGCTTATTCGTCAGCTCGACAGATATCCCTTTCGTCTTAGTGTCCACGTCCTGATTTGGATCGCTTTTTACTTTCTTAATACTGTTATTCGAAGTGCTCTCGGACAACAATTCCAAACGCGCGCGGTCCTTCTCGTACAGCTCCTCGTTGCGTTTGGCCAGCACCGGTACGAACGACGCCAATCCGTCGTAAGGCTTTCGCGTAGCGGACTGCCTGCTATTCATGCGTTTTATCGCGTCGCCGGTGAATCCGTAGCTGGTGTTGCTCGACTGTATGTCCGGCCGTCGCGCGCACTTCTTGTACTCCTGCTTAACGTGATAGACGCAGTACTCGCATCGGCTTGTGTTCACGACCGCGGTGCACGGATCCCCGTTCTTCTTGACCGACTTGCATTTGCCCATGTCCTTGGACCTGCCGAGAACCATCAGCTTCTGAGGATTGTCGATCGACAGCGTCGCCTGATCGATGTTGTCCTTGCTCTCGAGCACGTTCGGATTGAGAATACCTATCACGCTGCCGACGATGGTTTTCCACAGTTGCTTGTAGGCGTTACTGAATAAAAAAACCGAGACGGTCCTTAGGTCGTCGGACAGATCGCTTATCTTCCAGATGCAGTAGGAGGTTCCCTTCTGCGAGGTTTTCGTGGCCGATTTGTTGATTAATACACCTGCAATCACCCAGTCGTTGTGTATATTGTCAGAAATAATGTGGCTCTTGACTCTTGATACTGTTACAGCTATCTTGTCCTTCATACGATCTCTCAATTCAGCCGAGGACACAAGGGGACTAACTATTCTTATTCCGAAGAAGGGATCGCTGTACACGTCCTTTGCTTTACTATTGTCATTACCTTTTATAGCGCTATTAAAGTCAAATGTCTTACCCTTGTTATTATTAAAATTAAAATTAACAGTTTTTTCTACTTGTAATTTTGCAGGCTGTTCAGTCTTCAACGAAGAGCATTCTTTTAACAATTGTTTTATCTCCCGCCCGTAATTGGAATACTTCTGCTCCTCGAAATATCGCTTGTCTTCGTCGTCAGAAGAATCAAGTTTGTCATCATAAATCTCACTTGTGACTTTCTCATTCTCAGTTGGTTTAGCCTCATTATTTATGTTACTAGGTGTAGAATCTAAGAAATTGAATTGCAATTCTGTCAGAGTCTTTTTTGGTTCTGATAGCGTGGAATGTTCAGGCAGTTCTCCAACATGTTTAGATTGCTCAGTCTCTTCGGTATTATTTGATATGAGATTATTTAAGATGTCTAGATCACAGTCACTGTCTTCATGCTCCATGTTTCAATTTTTCTGCAAAAAAAAAAGGCAAAATAAGAGAAATAAGGATGTGTTTTTTTATTTAATTCTATTTTTGGCTGTTTACGTTAAAATTAAAGATACAATCTAGAAAAGAAAAGATGCTTGTAGATGCTCAGACAGAGATAAAGTAATGTCAAATGGAGTTAATTAACTCAATCAACCAATTACTACTGTTAGAATTGATTATAAGACGCTTAAAGTATTAAATCACACAGACTAAAACATTCTTTTTCTCTATACTTTGTATTACAAGCCGAAAAGGAATTTACCGACAAAAATTGATTTAAAGTTCTTTATTTAATCAGTCTACTTTTACAGCACATTAACAAATCTAACCTTACTCACGCGTTCCTTTTTATATTTAAAAAAATTCAACAAAAATGCTGCTTCATCATCACAGAAATCGTTCGCGTAAATGCTTTCGAATCACAATTATCGATGCATTATCCAACGATTTTCGCATATAATACGCGGTATGTACAATTATTTACATGACCGAACGTCACAGCAGTCACACCCGACGGTTACCCGCCAATTCTCAGCCAGAGCAGACGACGGCGCGACCGGCGACACAAGCGACACAGCGAGAGTCAACGAATCGCGAGAACACTTCGCGCAGGCGCCGCGCGCCGCTCCGACCGCCTCGATATATCGAAGGTCGCAAAGGCATCGATAGCTTTCGATAGATTTCGAATTGCGCTCAGTTCAGGTACCCTGGTCGCGACCGGCCGCGGAATCGCGGTTGTGATCGCGCGTCGTGTTTTCGACGTCGCGCTGTGAATTTCGTGCGCGGACGATCGTCGCGAGTGTCCCTCGAAAAAGCGCACTGGACGTTCGTTCGTGTGGCACACGGCATCACAGGAGTACGAAGCAGGCATCGCTATACCGCGCGGCCTCGGCATCTCAACCAACCTCTCTCGACGCGCCTCCGGCAGTGTCTACTTGCATCATGGGCGCGCTCCAAATTTTCATCCTATGTATATGTCACGGCGCTTCATTTTCTTATCGAGACACACCGAGAGCGCAACGAACAAACGATTGTCACCAGGTATTTACGTCGCGCACGTAATTAATTTTATGTTTATTATGGCTGCGCTCCGTTTGGCGCTTACAGCTGGTTACAGCGCTCACAAAATCATTTCATCCTTGTTGTTAAACAAATATTAAACAAAAACAAATGATGCTTATAAACGCTGTAAGTGCCAAGAGGAACGCAGCCTATATCATCAATCGGTTTCTCTGATATAATTGAATTGCAGTTAGTCGGTAAATATCGCCATTTTCTCTTTTTTTCGCACTTTTTGCGCATCGATGATAATTATGTGAGGCATAGTGTGAAGGGTTAAGATCTTCGCACAATTGTTTCCATTCTTTCAAGTTTTCAAGGATTGACATCGTTAGAAGTAAATGATTTTTATCAATCTGGTAATTAAATGAATCTCAAGGCGAAAAAAATTATACAAGTATGTATACTATAATTACTATATATGTATATACATATATATAATGTATTTACATACACGTATACATATATATACACGTATACATACACGTATACATGTATACATATGTATATATGATGTATTTACATACACGTGCTTATTGATTGTATTTGCTTTTAATCAATTATTAATTCAAATTATATGATTAACATAATTTTTTTGAATATATATCATGGATGCTTATATTGTCCCAGTATAACAAAACCGCTGTTTCCTTTTTAACACGAGCTAAAAGTCGCAAAGTTTATAATTTTAATGTATGATATATATATATAATATATTTGTTACAGTATACTAAAGTTTAAATATACGTAACACACACATTTAATTTATTTCAAATACAAAACTTAATACTTCAATGATAATTAATAAATACATGACTTACTTCATTACGCGCGTTTCGAAAGAAACGCATGTGGGATTACTAAGAATTCTTCAACAGAATAATTTATATATCACGTTAATTATTATAGTCGTTATACCGTGGAATTTTATTGTCTTCTCTCTCGAAAAAAAATAATATAATATAAATAAAACAGTAAGGGAAGCCGACAATCTTTAGCGATTGTTCTATTTGAGCTACTATTCACAATAAGTTATTTGCGACCTGCAGTTGTCGCCAAATAGTCGTATGATCGCTGATTCATCACACTAACGCCGATATGCAGTGACGCAATTTTCTATGGTCTAATGAGGTACAATCAGGGTGCATATGTTATCATATAGGGTGTCCAAGAAGAGCTCAACTCCTACATTATTTTTTAACAGAATATTCGTTAAACTAAACTATAACTAATCTAACAATTATTTTCTTCCTTAATATTAAGAGAACATTCGACTTTTTACTATTAAATATTAAATATATTTTTATTATTAATATTTAATAATAATTATAAAATTGATATGTATGTAAATTAGGAAACTCTATTATTTATTTGAATTTAAGCAAATTAAACTTTTCGAATACTTCAACTCTAATATAATTGATAAAACATTATTAATAATAATTGTTGAAAATTTCAAAAAATAATCTCCCGTGAAATAATTTCAAATTAGTCACTGTGTCGTTAAAGTTGAGATGAATAAAACACTAAATAATTATTAAAAATTCCAACGAATTATGACTTCTTGCGAAATTGTATTTTGACGAAACAGAATTAATTTTAAATTAGTCGTAGTGTAAAGTTAAGATTAAGAATTCTAAATTGCATTTCTAGAAAGTATTCATATATGCACATACTTTCCGTGTATGTACCTAATATTATACATTTAATATTATATATTTCAATTCTATTTTTAACGCCACATATTACATATATGAATATGATAACATTAAATGTAAGAGTTAGGAAAGTACATTATTTCCGAAGAAGAATAATTACTGCTCTTTGTTCATATCGGATTTACACGAATACTCGTACATATGAAATCCACCGTTATTTATACTCACCAGCTAACGATTTTCGTAGCGAGGTGACCGCGCTTCCCGCAAGCACGGAAATCGACCAGTCTCTCCTTATGAAATATTCAGGCTAGATGTTGCAGTCGGACTAACTCGAGCAGTCAGTTTGCATCTAAGCAATTCTCGCGGATGAAGAGGCAAGCAGCCGGTCTATCGAAAATACGTTCTGGAAATGCTTAATCGGAAGTCTCGCTCTGTATTAACTCTTGGCATTATTTCGCGACATTATTTCCCTCTGCGGATCAATATTAGGACGTGTTATTTTTATTTTAAGTATTATAGAGATCGCCTAAAGTAATATGTGACTTCCACCGGTGAGTATTACGGAAAAATTTTCAAAATTTAATGGAATAAATAGAATGAAACAAATGGCAGATTGATTTTTTTACATAATAATTGTTAAAAAAAATTAAGATAAGAAAATAGAGAAAATAGTTGTTCTTCAAAATATTATTGAAAAGGATTGGCTGCCTGAGGTTTGAAAAGATATTATATAAAATAAATTTATCAAATTAACAAAGCTTTTGTTTCTCTATTTGCCTCGTTTCTGTATTTTATACGTAAATAGAACGTGATAATTTTTAAATGGTAAAATTAACGTGGCAGTAAATTAAATAATTTTTATAATAACTATATTATTTAATTTATTTTGCTTTATTTGTATTATAATTACTCGGCTGACAAGAGTTTTTTTTACAGAAAAGTATGTATATAGGATCATTAAACATTAAGCATTTCCCCGTGGCTGTTTCGCGAAAGTGGCGGCTGCTTTAATCCTTATGAGATGCTTTCTACCGTATTATGCGATGAATAGTAGATAAATGTTTCCTGCGTACGCACAATGTACAGTTATCGTTTAACTATACGCTAGCATACAGCTTACACTTAATAAGCGTGTAGGTACCCGCTCATTAGAATCTCTCTTTGCATCCTAATGCATATCCTGAAAATCTTCATGATTCCGAATAATGCTTAAACTATTACACTTGGAAAGGTAATACAACGTTGTAAATTCTTATTCGATTCACTTAAATAATACGTAAAAAGATCCATATTACGGTGTGCACAATAACAAAGCTGAAGATTCTTCAAAGAAAATATTGATAATAATAAGTAAAATATGTATAATAAATGAGAACGCCTAATATTTTGTCTCATGCAATTTCTGTATAAGCCACGCATAGTTTTTTTTTTTCATCAAAATTTTATGTCGATCTAACTTGAAGAAGACTCGCATAAAGTAAAGACACGGAAACTTTCTTTGACTTTGGCACGACGTCGGATCTAGTTCCTCGTGAAATAATAAACGCGACGCGATAGTTCCGTCCAAGGATAGAAGAGAAATAATTGCGCGTATCGAATAAATTATTTCGCATATTTTCGTCGATCGGCCGGCGCATGTATTCGATGCACTACTTGGTACCCCGTGGTACCATCCGTTGGTCGATTGGAGCAATAAACCATCAATAATACAGTCTACTTGCTACGGTTTAACGTATATACTCAAACACGCGGAATACTCGTGCATTCACATGCCTGGAAGTAATAGACTCGCGACTCGGCTATTTTTCCCTCGCGATTGCATTGGCTCGCGATGTTGCATAGAAATTTGTACGCGACCGGAAGAAACGAATCTTTTCGATTGCGCCCCGAAACGGTATCATCGACAAGTGAATGTGTCATTTCGTTCCGTGGTCTAATTCTGCTAGATCGATATGTCGAGTGGCACGAGAAAGAAACGGCAAGAACAAAATGTTTCGCTTGTACAAGAGAACTGTATTTTTCAACATATACGAGAAACGAATTTTAGGATATTTTTTCAAATATAAACTTGTTAATCCAATAAAATGTGCGTGCGTATAAAGATATTATTTCTTGTTATTGATTTTCTATCTCTCGGGAAAATGTTCGCTACATCATAAAACACTCTAACATTTTTATTTACGCGTCTCCATTATAGATTTATCATAATACAAAAACTGAATTATTGTGGGTCGGCAGTTATGTTTCTTCCGTAGTATCGTTCTCCAGTAATTAATGATAAACATTTCTTTTGCGAGCTGATAGTCGCGAGTTTTCTTGTTGCCGTAACAAATGCGATATTTATCATTCTTCTACGCAGTCTGACCCATTAAAAAAGAAAATATACCTCGGACAACCGTTGTAGCGGGATTTTTTTCTTTCCTCATACCGCGGACGTGTTGTTCGCTCGCGTGTGCAACGGGATTCTAGTGCCATTCCATAATTCTGGAAACTAGTTGGAACAAAAGCAGCTCACGTATCGTCCATCTGTCCCCCCTTCTTTCCTGCGATGTCCTTCCCGCTTCTTTTCGCCGGTCTTGTTTCTGAATCATCTGCGACACAGCCACGGGCATCTTCCACCTGCTAATCTCGAGGAAAGCTGCGCGGTACCAAACGGCTTCCACCTGTTAGTTACGGGGGAAAGCGTGTAGTCACGGAGTCCCTCGTGTAGAACGAAGCTGCATGCGCCATGCATCGCTCTTCCACCCGTGGCATCTGCGTTCTCGAGAGAACGAGAGAGCGAGAGAGAGAGAGAGAGCGAGAGAGAGAGAGAGAGCGAGAGAGAGAGAGAGAAAGAAAGAGAAACGGAGAGAAGGAGAATACACACACTACGAGTGCACAACGCGGTGCTTCGCGAAAGAAAGTACACCATTACCTTCGACGCATCGTTGCACTTCGCGATTTGCTCCTTGAAGCACCGACGCGGGTTCTTTCATGTGCGAATGAGTCAGAATTTTTTATGATATTAATTGAATTTCATCCTTATACACAGATTACCAAGTGTAATATTTTCATATTTCCTAAGTTTGTAAAAACTCTAAAGGGAGATCGTAGATTTTCTACGAGATTTCAGTTTTTACAATAAAACTACAAGAGAAGAAAATATAAAAAATTTATTATACATATCTTATATATATCTTTTATATATTATATATATCTTTTTCGATTAATTATTAAGAAAAATCTCAATTATATGTCGGCAATTTGATAAAATAATATAAATAATTAAGCAATTAAAATATATATAAAGTCCACACACACGCACACGCACACGCACACACACACACACACATTAAGCTTATACATTTTGTTTTAAATATAATCTTTACATTTTTTTATACTTCAATGTGCATATTTCGCATTAGCCTTTGTTTTTGTTGATAACAAACTATCCCTTCGTTGCACGCTTCTTCGCCTTCAGTCGCCTTTTGTAACAAGCTCGACGAAGGGATTTTCCTCCGGGGGCATGCTTTTCTCCCTTGACCTCTTTGTTGTAACTCATTTTAATAACGCAACTTCAATAATTATGGTTATTATAATAACGGTGGCGCAGTAAGCGTAGAACCAAAGTGTTCGTCATACAACTATACGAGAACTTCTAGCAAAACTTCTCTTTTTAAACGAAATCTCCTTCTCTTTTGAAATAAGATGCCTATAATATTTAAAGTGATTTGTATACAAATACCAAGACACTGATTTATAAATAACACCATGCTCTTTTTCAATCATCGATGTCCATGCTTTATTAAGAATAAATATTACTTCATAAATAGACTAAAAAAAAAGTAATTATGTAAATCATTAAATTAAATACGAAATTTTCTCATATCCGTCATGTGAAAAAACTATGTCCATAAGCAGACATTATCGATTAGTAATTAGAATGAAACTTTGAATGTATCTTTTCAAGTTTTTACACAAATTTCTTATTTAAAGAGTATTTACAAATTCAATTAGGAAATTAAATCAAACTCAATATACATATTTATATGCATTTAATTAAAAATTGTAGCATATTTATTAGCACATTTATTTGATTAAAAAATATTTTTTTCAGTATGATGTATTTTATTAAGTATGAAGAAAGGAATTACATAAAAAATGAATATATAGGACTATATATTTATTAATCTCTTTTTATTATTATTTGCTGTCATCATAAGTTCGAAGTAGACATAAAGAGTATTCCCACGTTTCTAATAGAGATGCGTTCGAAATTCCCCGACGTAGCGACTTCCTCTCTCGAAGATAATCCAAGAACACGTGCGGAGACCCCGACGCACCCCTATCTTGGCGCGTTTCCCCTCGCAAGAGCGGTCATCCCTTCGTCGAATGCAGCTCCGTTTTCCCGTCACCTTTTCCGGCGGTGAGTCGCGGCGGAAGAGGGGACCGCTGATGGTCCCTCTCCAGGCACGCGCCTCCCGCTTCTCCGTCCTCCTCGTCTGAATCGTGAACGACCTGTTCACTTCCCCTCGCACCCATCGTCGGCGCTCGATCCAAAGCCCCCTCTTCCCTTCCCCCACACTCTGCCAACCACCCACTCACCTACCCCGACCCAGTGGCCCGCGGGCCACCCCCACCTTACCCTCGCGGCGCGGCGACCCCGCGCGTCCGTCTCACCGTCACCGCGCTGGTTCACGCTCCGTCAGTCTGTCGGCAACCTGCGTACCAGTCGTGTCGCAGCGTTCACGTAACAAAATTCTTATTATTATTACTATCACTCTTTACTTGCCTTGAAACTCGATCGGTGGTGTGTTCATTCTCGTTTTCGACTTCGTTGCGCGCGTATTTGATTTTCGACACCGTCCTACCCCTCTGCAATTACGCTGTCACGTCCAGGAGCTCTTGCGCTCGTCGAAGAAATTGCCGCCGCCGCCGCCGCCGCCGCCGTCGCCGCCGCATACGTCCGCGCTCGCGCATGAAAACCCGTCACGACCCGCGATCGTATGCGCGCATCACACGGGGCGCACCGATAAAGTGACCGAGAGACAGAAAGCTATCACGAGGGAGAGAGGGAGAGAGGAACAGGAATACGTCAGGTACGAGGCGATCGCCTGCGAACCTTATCCGATCGCCCCTGGTACCTATGAGCGTCGCGGGCACTTCGGAGCATTGACGCGAGCCAACCATCCGGCGCGTAGCAAGTACCAGAGGTTGTACGCCTCGCGCAACCTCGTCTTCATCGTCATCGTCGCCGTCGCCGTCGTCCTCTTCGTAGCGTACAGCCACGCGACGCAGCAGCACTGGAATTCATCAGCCGGGACATCGTCGGACGACTCGTTTTACCCGGTGCATGGGTCATCGTTCACCGATAGATGAACCATCTCCTGTTTACAGGGGAAACGTCGCCGTCGCCGATCGCGTTCACCGGTGCTGCCCTGCTCCACCTCCACGGCGGGCACGCTGCTGGTGTATCGATTGCTCTAAAATAGACGCGTGGGAACAACACCTGCAGGCCAGGCGTACACGTACACACATGCCGTTCGCAAGCGCATAAACGCGCAACAGACCGCACACACGTCTGTGTGTTTCACGTTCCGTACATACACTCATATATACGGCACGTTTGTTCTCTCTCCCTCTCTCTCTCTCGCGCGCGCTCTCTCGCTCTCGCTCTCGTTCTCGCTCTCGCTCTCGCTCTCTACTCGTCGTTACGCTGCTACGACTCTCTCGCAGCAGCAACGTGTGACAGGTGCAACGACGGCGACATCGTCGTAGGGTGGTCGGTGGTGGCGCTGGCGAAGAGCCACAGCAGGAAACGGAGGAAGAAGTGAGTCGGGTCGGGGTTGCGAGAAGACGCGAATAAGAAGAAAAAGAAGTAGAAGAAATCAGGAAGGGACAGACGGAATAATAGAAAGAAGAGGAAGAGGAAAGGAAGACGCCGGGCGAAGAGAAGAGAGAAGGATCGGAACAGGGAAGGAGAGGAGGCGTGGAGGAGAAACAGGAGGGGGAGGAGGTGGAAGAGGAGGAGGAGGAGGAGGCGGCCGCGGCCCCCGTGTTTCTTGCGAAGGGAAGGTTATTTTCCAGTGATACGTCCTGGAGGCGCCCGTCGTCTTCGCCGGTACAACCATAACGCCGCCCGCTTTAAAACGCCCGAGACGGGACACGGTGGATTCATCGCCGCCACCCGCTCGTACCGCAGCCCCCGGCAACCCCGGACCGTCCGGCAAACTCGCCTGCATCATGGACGCGCCGCTATCGCAGAGCATGGACTCCGTCAACACGGTGGCCACCGGCGAAGACGAGGTAGGTGTTCTTAAGGGTTGCTGTCTGAGGCGCTCCCGCGATACGGCGGCGCATCGCAGCGCCGGTTCGTACCGATGGCCGAAGGGGTGGAATCCACCCCTTCTGACGCACTCCCTCTGTCTCTCTCTTTCTCTTCCACCCCCGTGCCACCGTAACTCCAAAAACTGCCTTCACGTTTCACGCGTTTCCCACGAGACTCGCTATCGATGTCTCCTTCTCCCCAAAACCTACCCCTTTCCTTCCTTCGCTTCGTCGAGGGGAATACTTGGATATCAGATATCGCCTTCTTTTCTTTCCTTCCATCGTGAGCTCACACTGTCTCTCCCCTCACCACCCCCTCTCTCTTTCTTCCGTCCTTTCTCCCTCGCACTTATATATTATCGCCATATTGGTCGGTTCTCCATCCTCCTCGCTCGCGTCTGTATATACACGTTCGTCTCCCTTACTCGTTCCAACCCTCGCGCGTCATAGCGCGCGCAAGCGCGTAGCGAGGTGTACTCGCGCAGGCTGCTGACACGCGCGTACTTCCGCCGCGTGTAGAATGCCGCTCATTAATGATGCACTCGATGCAAGCTAGATGCATCATGCATGCTCGAAATGGTCCAAAAGCTAGGCATAGCAAATTTAATAATTAAACAAAGACTAGAAAGGCGTTGTTTATAAATAATTAAAATTATTAAGGTAGATGGTTCATAAAAACGAAGCTCATTTCTGTTGAAATATTCTTCTTGATAACACGACTTTCAAATTTCATGAGGTTTTTACGAAATGACGAATCGTCTTGTTCAAGTGATATCAAGAGAGAGAAATAGTAATCATTGGCGTACAGAAAATCATTATAAGAAATAATATTTAGTTATTTACCTATATGCACATCACGGTGTTCTCAGTAACGATTCATTATGTTGTTACAGCGGAGATATCAGATATCCTCCGATGAGTAATTAATGGAGATATTTAGGGATTAATTGGAATTAATGTATGATTGTGTATCGAGGGGCTCTGCAAAATCGATTACGAAACACAGAAGCGCGAGGTTAGCAATTATATGTAATTGTACTATCCATTATGCTCTTGTGGTATATGACGCGCATTCATCAGGATCCTTTGTTCTTCGTGATCAACCGTAACTATATAATCTTGCGCAATTTTTCGCGATTGCTCGTGTAACGTATTCTTTGTGGAGCGGGCAGCTGGCGTGACGCAACCGTTCGTTGAGTTGAAACAGTTGTACGACGCAACTGTTCATAGAGTGGAAACAAATCGTATCTTTAATTTACGATGTTGTATGCGTTACAGAATCGAGAACTTCTGTAGAGGGGTATTATAACGTTAGTTAGGTGTAGCGCGCGCCGAGTCGCGGAAACTTTGTTTTACATTAATTTTCAAACCGCGCCGCAACGAAGTTTCTGCGCCGTGTCGTTGTACTGCGCACTTGATAGTAACGGCATACATCAAGAACGCCGTAAAACTTCTCGAGAAAAATACGAACACAAAAACACAGCGGAGAAGTCTCACGAAAGAGCGTACTTACGATACATTAAATTTTTACGCGTTTTATTCGTTGAAATGTTTGATCTTTTAATGTTTCATAGCATGCGCTACCGGTCTCTCCCAAAGTAAATTTAAAAAATTTTTTATATCCTTAAAGCAAGATTCTTTACGTATGTATCTACATACATACTTTTCAAATGCAAATCATTGCATCAAATTTATAGACATGTCAAAATATTTTATAACAACATTGACTACATATTTTTGCCGACATATTTGTATATTAAATATAAATAAATAGACGATTTGAAATATATCGAAACAATTAAAAATATTAATAAATCATGAATTAAAGAACTGGAGTAGAGCAGAATTGGAGTATTGAAAGATTTTTATCGCACTAGAGGTAAATTTATCGAGTTATAAAAGTAATTTCGCGAAGAACAATTAATATTGTGAAAATTATTTTATTACTAGAATATATGAGCACGCATTATTAAATTACAGTAGTTCTAATAGTAATTCATTGGTAGTTTGTCTAACGGATCATTGATTCAATTTAACTGAAACTAAAACTATTGATGAATTAGATAAAAACTCTACAGCTTTGCGATTGAAAGATAAATTTTGGACGAGTTATAATTTTGGCAGACTTTACTATCTCGGGGGAATACAATCCTCGCGCCGCCTCGATAAAAAAATCATTAATAATTTATTTAACGGATTATTGATCCAATTTAACTGAAACTGAAACTATTGATCAATTAGATAAAAACTCTACAGTTTTGCGATTGAAAGATAAATTTTGAGCGAGTTATAATTTTGGTAGGCTCTTACTATCTCGGAGGAATACAATCCTGGCGCCGCCTCGATAAATGATAAAGCCGCGCAACGCTATCGTTGCGCAGCAGCGTATATACGTGCGTATATACATGTACACGTCTCGCGGCGTGGAAGGCGGGAATTCGATCGCGTGCCTGCCACGACAGAGTGTGTGCCTCGCAGGTGACTCGTTTTCACCGGTGCGCGCTCGATCGGACGGTTGCTTGCTCGCTTGCTCGCTCGCTCGCTCGCTCGCTCGCCTGCACACCCGCCTGCCCTCTCGTCTGCCAGGCAGGCTGGCTTCCTTCCTCGTACAGGCACTGGCAGGCGGCCACCTGAAAGAGTGACGCCGCCACGCCGCACCACACTACGCTCGCTATTGATTTTTCCACGACTGTGCGAGAGGGCTACCGAGGAGGGCCCGCCAGCACGCTTCGCGCTATGTCACATCATACGGGAGGTGGATTACGCCTCGTGACGGTAACGTGGGTGCCAAAGACGTGTGTGTGCACGCGCGTATATACACGCGTATATACGCCGTATACGTGGACGGCATACATGTACGCGCAAATGATTTGACTTAGGTCGCAGAGCGTACCGGGTGGCGACCCCAACGAAGCGTAACCGGCGAACCTGCCGTCCGTTTTTTTGCCGCGAAGGGTCAATCGATTCATGTGTTTACGATGAAGCAGATGCTTCGTAGAGAATCATATTTTGCACTGTGGAGTTTTGACAAAAATTCCATATTTCCTCTAAGAGAGAAAATTGTATATTTGTATAACAATTCAAGACAATTAATCGTAAAATAGGTTTTCATTTATTGATCTTTCAATTGATCGATTTTATTTCTTCATTTAAATCTCTTTTATCACTTTTTATCAGGTGGTTATTTATCCACGTTGCATTTTATTTGTTAAAAAGTTTATTTATAACAAGCGTAGTGCAAAATTTGTTCCATAATTATATAAAGCATACATAAAGAGTGAGCTATCTTTTGTTTATTCAATTCTTCGGTTAATTTAGAATCGGATTTTTCCTTCTAGCGAAAATGTCAGGAAACATCGTTTATCATTTACCGCAAGTTTTTAATTTGCATCATTAAATACTGCTGCAGTTTAACTCTGGAAAGTATTTTGAATTGTTTCTGTGATGAATTTGTTTATTAGAGAAAAATCGACTAAACTAATTGTAAATACGTAATTTTACAAATCTTAAATTTTTTACAAATTAATTTAAATAATAGTAAATATAGATAGTTTCTGAATTAAAATTTTTTCTAATTAAAAAACGATTATTGTACTACAATCTTTTTGAAATCATCAAAATTTACGTTATTGATTTCTGGGCTTGTTTTAGAACAACGAGATAGATGGGAAAATGATAAGTGAATATTTATTCGAACTATTGTTTTGTCGTGGAAAATTTCATATTCAGTCGGTCCTTCGTTTGGCTGACGACGCGTTCGCTGTGCGACGAGTTCGTGATTATAACGAGGAAATGCTTTCATGCTTTTCCCCGTTAAGCGGGAAAATGAAATTCACGAACAGGTTACGGCTTTTAATACGAGTGTCGATGTCCTGGGAGAGTTGACGTCTACAATAACTCTGAAACAGAATTGTAGCTCGCGTACGTATGGCGTAACAATCACGTTAATCAGTTTCGATAGTAATAACGTTATTTAGAGCATTACGATATAGCAAGTTAGTGAAATATATGTTGCTAGTTTTAAATAAAGATAGCTGAGAAATATTTTATTTTTTATTCGATAAAATTACATATTCAATGTTTATTTTATGTAATATAATAAATTTTTATTATGAAAGTCATGATAAAAAAGTTCGCTTTCTATAGAAATAACACGTTTTCTTTATATATTAATACTAATTGATTATTTAATAAATCAATACTGTCTCAATAAATTTATAAAAGAATGGACTAAAAATTCGATTATACAAGCGTATGTTGAAAATACAATTAGTTCGGTATAGATTTATCGTGCATGTCCCTCATTCTACCAATCGATAGATTTCGATTTCACTGAGATTTTGCGGTGTATCTCGGTGTGCGTGTGTATGACTGTATACTCAGTGCGTGCCGTAATTATCGAGATTCACTCGTAGAGCCGCCGCGCCGAGACACTGCAAAAGAGCAGCGGCGCGTGAGAAAATCCACAAAGATATTTCGAATTCGTTAGGCAAACGAACGATCGCGCTCGGGTATACATACAACGGCATTATCCTCTTAGAGGCGGATGGCGGAGTCCGTATTATGCGTTAACCTTCATCGATGTGTGCAGGTGCATGCATAAAGAGCACCGGCTGGCTAGGCCGCCCCTCGCCCGCTTCTTTCGTTCTCGTTTCCGTTCTTCTTTTTGTCTGTTTCGCGCGAAAAGCGAACGGGGAATTGGGCTTCGAATCCCCGTAGCTGCACGCTAATGCATTCGGATGGACCGAAATCTCGGTTGGGAACGAAAGCGGAATAAATGCGCGCGGTTACACGGAGAAATCGTCGGAATTGTGGTATACAGGTGGGAAGGGTGGAAAAGCGTGATAAGCGTGATGTGGACGAGAGTGGAAAGTTTATGGGAGAATTATTCCTATTATTCGCGGCTTATCATCGCTTTTGCTCCACGAATCATTGAAGCTTCTCAGCACGGCAAAAATTAAATGTACATTTCATAAAAG